GAAAGATAGGGCAGGGCCGGAGGGGATGGCTGTTGGGTAGGTCAGAGTGTTCGTTGAGGATGGCAGTGTGAGATGCAACATGGCTTCTGTGATCAAACAAATATGAGAAATGATTGGTGCTCTCTTCTGGAGGTTTAAAGTGGAGTCCTGCTGTGGCATTGTAGGGTAAGCATTGGACTGCTAACCACAAGGTCGGCAGTTCAAACCTACCAGCTGCTCCTTGGAAACCCTACCTACACTGGGTCACTCTGAATAGGAACTGATTCAGCTGTACTTAACAACAAAGTGCACATGAATTTATTGGGGTTCTGAGGTAAACCGGCTTAACATGACTCTTTTGCATTTGCTTTTCCCACAGAACCCTTTTTATTTATTGTAAGGAGGCTTGGTGGCACAGTAACTAAGTGCTTGGTTGTTAACCAAAAGGCTAGTGGTTCAGACCCATCAGCTGCTCTGTGGCAGAAAGATGTGGCGATCTGTAAAGATGATATCATTGGAAGGTTCTACTCTGTCCTGTGGGGTGACTGTGGTCAGACTTGACGATGTACAAGGTACATGGGAGTTTAGGGGAGGGAGAGACTAGTTTCTAGGTAGATTGGGCTTAGATTTTTGCCTCACCTTCCACCCTACCCTTTGGATTTCTGCCAGTTCTCCAAAGTAGTACTTTTTCTGCTTCCCATTGTCAATTAGATGATACTGACTAGTTAGATCCAGAGGGAAGAGTCCAGACCATTTTCAGTAACTCCTTCCTTGTGGGTAGGTGGTGGCGATGAGCATAATATGGTAACTAGTTCCAACAGGTGGCTACCCATCGTGAAGGCTGATTGACTTGCTGTCCTGATTTGTTTGGGTAGCTCCTGATGACATCATGGAGTTTGGTTAATACTGGAATTACTGTGAGGATTGGATGAGATGTGTGTTTAAAGGGACAGCACACTCTCTGGGAAATGATACATGCATTGTAAATTGTGAACTCCCTTTGTATTTATAATTATCACTGACCTGTTTTGAACATGTACTTTGTGTTAATCATCCGACTTGCATTATTTCATGTAATCCTCATAGAAAAGCTGTCTGATATGGGGATTATGATAGTCCCCAGTGCCTCGATGAGAGAATTTGGACTCAGAGAGGGCAGGCGGATTGTGCAAGATTATAAAGCAACTAAGTGCCGCGGCCAAAGTTTGAACCCGGTCTTCTTGACTTCATGCTTGCTTTCTTAAGTCTTCTGTCCTCTCTGGATTGGAGAAGTATCAGCATGGTGATTACAGAAACAACAGACTTTCAGGTTGGGTCACCCTTTGTTTAAAGAGCCCTTTTCGATAAGGCCTTGTTACAGAACAAGGACATACATTACATTGGTGGAAGGTGACTGAAACAGTCCCACAAAGCCGTGAGTCGGCCGTGCACAGGCTGAGCATACAGGAACCTGGGATCAAAGATTGAGGAGCCTGGCAGGAGTAGTTCTTGCACCTTCACCTGGTTTAGGAGATGGGGAATCTAAGAGGTGCCTGGACTCCAACCTGGACTGTACGTCTTTCTGCAGAATGACCCTGGGTTAAGCCCCTCTACCTGGTTGAGCCTCAGTGTGCTCATGTGTGAAAAGGACCAGGCTTACTGGCCAGAAAGAGAATGGAGGACTCTGGACCATGGCCCTTGGCTGCTCTTCAAGTCTGGAACGCAACTCAACCTTGTAGCCCAATTTTCCACAAAAAGGTAGACAGTTACGTAGGGGACAACAACCTAGTAAGGTCTGCTCACCATAGAATGGTTGGCCATTCAAGATCAAGAGGGCAACATTTACCCCAGGGCCAAGATGAGAAGGATGAGAAGGAAGGTTGAATGGAACCAAGGGGAAGAAGTGGGAGAATGGTTGTTACATGGAGGGGATGGCAATCATTGAGATAAAACAAAGTGTATGATTTGGTGAATTTAAACTGATGATCTGCTCTGTAAACCTCGTTTCACAATAAACAATTTCAGGAAAAGGAAAAAAGGAGACAATGATGGGAAGCACCATAATTTAAGTCTATGTTCAGTCCATTTTAATGCTTCAAAATAGATTGTGTAGAATAGTGTCAGTTAAACTAAAAAGCCTCAGTAAAACACATGAAAATGAGTTACTGACTTTTTGATTCAACATGTGTTGATTTCTTACTAGGTTCCAAAGAACCCATTGTTCTTTGGTAATCTGACAGATGTGCAAAAGGAAATAGCATGTATCTGCTACCATGAAATACCCAGAAGTCACCTTTAGAGAAAACCAACACTTCTAAGAAAAAAAACAAAGAGAGTTCAAGGAAGAAAGTTCTGTGCCTGGCCAGCTGCCCATCCTGCAGTCCTAATGATGAAATGGGTTCTGTGATTATCCAGTGGGCGATGTATCTGTTACTGTGAGATCAGAGTCCCTAAAATGCCCCCAGATGGTGAGTTTGATGAGGACAGAGGAGTGAGACAAGTTATAACAGGTGGACATGGTTCTCTGGGTTTAAGTCCTGTACTCAGGTTGAAGACGGTGCACCCAGAGCCCAGTTCTTCATGTCTTCATGGACAAACCATCTACTCTCTGGTTTCCAAATGTCTGCAGTGACTGAGCTTGAGCCCCCCTAGTCTCATCCTGGCACCTTCCTTTTTTGCTGCCTTTCTAATATTGACCAAACGCTGGATGCTCTTTAGCTTATGAAATCATATGCTAGAAGAGATTTTCTAGAAATTCAGTACCTCAAAAAATGTGAAAATCTAAGGCCTTGTAGCTTGCTAAAATAGGATAGAAACATATTTAAATTGGTTAGTGCATTTTACTCTAGAAAGCCTTTTTCTTACTCTTAAAAAGCTGCATAATTGCGTTGGCAAGACTTTTCTCTGAAGGAAATGGAACGAACCACGGTGTGATACAATGCCATTTTATGAGTTGTAAAAGGAGCTCTGGTAGTATAGTGGTTACGAATCGGGTTGCGAACCTCAAGGTCAGCAGTTCGAAACTACCAGCTGTTCCGTGGGAGAAAGATGAGGCTTTCTGCTCCCGTAAAGATTTACAGCCTCAGAAACCGGTACAGGGTTGCTATGAGTGGGA